ATATGATGATTAAGCAGAGCATGAGAGTAGGATAGTATTGGGTGACAATGCAAAAGATTGTATTGACTATGCTAGAAAATGCCATAAATGTAAATTTTATGCAAATAAATGGCAAGTTCCTCTAACATCCTTATGTGTCATGTCAACACATTAGCCTTTCTTTATATGAGAAATAGATGTAATAGGGCCCATTACACTAAAAGCTTTACATGAAAATCGATTCATTTTAGTGGTGATTGACTACTTTACAAAGTGGGTAGCTGTAACTTCATATGCTAATGTGACAAGAATAGTGGTTTGTAAGTTTATAAAAAAAGAGATCATATGTCAATATAAACTTTCAGAAAGGATCATTTCAGATAATGCTCTTAATTTGAATAACAAAATAATGAGTGATGTTTGTACTTAGTTCAAAATTAAACATCACAAATCGACACCTTATCGTTCGAAGATGAATGGGATAGCTGAAGCAATTAATAAGAACATAAAGAAAATTATTGCAAAGATGATAGAAATATGTATAACTTGGTAAGAAAAGCTACCATTTGCATTACATGTTTATCAAACTTCAATTAGCACATCTACAAGAGCTATACCATTTTTATTAGTATATGGGATGGAAACAATGTTGCCTATTGCAATTCAAATTTTTTCTTTGCGCATTTTCATAAAAGTCAAGTTAGAAAAAATCAAGTGAGTTTGTGTTTGATATGAACAATTGAATCTCATTGTAAAAAAGAGACTAGCTATGTTTTATCATGGTTAATTGTATCAAAGAAAAATGATGTGAGCTTATGATAAGAACATTCATCCACAACAATTTCGAAAGAAAGAATTAGTATTGAAAAAGATTTTTCCTAACCAAAAATATCCTTAGAGAAAATAGACTCCTAATTAGGAAGGCTTATATGTGGTGAAGAAAGCCTTTTTCTAGTGGGGCATTGATCTTAGCAAGAATGGATGGGGATAATTTACCAAATTCAGTCAATGATGATGCAGTAAGAAAGTACTATGCTTTAAAAAAAAGGTAAAAAAATAAAATAAAATAAAAAGATATCTGAGTTAAAAACCTGAAAATGAGACTTAGATGAAAGAAGTATTGAATATAATGGGCCAATTCTCAATATATACTAGAAGATCTTATTGGTTTTGGGCTAGCTTGGTTTGCTACATTTTCAGAAAGTCAAAAGACATTAATAAAGAGTTTTCAGAAAAGAATCTAAGATGAATTGGTTTATGATGATGTAAATATTATGTAATTACCTATTTTCTTTGTTATATCTTTTTGGATAATGCATGAAACACTTATCCCTTTTACTGAAGTAAAATACCCATTTGTTTATCTTTCCTTTGTCCATTTTATTAAAGAGAAAAATATGCAATGTGTTATAATTATTGTGAAATTTAAAAGATGATGAGGGAACAACAATGACCATGAAAAACACACATTATTTTGAAAAATATTTAAAATGATAAGCAAAATAGTAAAGAACAAAGGCCAATGAGAAATGAAGCTTATAAGTCATAAAAGTGGTAGACATTGAATATGGAAATGTGGAGAGAAATTTTTTTATCTAAACTTAATCAACTGTTGAAATGCATGGGATTCAAGAGAAAAAGAAAGGAAACAAACATGAAGAAATTTCAAGGATTAAAAGAAAATGATAAAAAAAAAGAATATAGTCTATTCATTTGCATCATAATCATCATTCATTGCATGACATTGCAAAAACATGAAAATATCATTCATGCACACATGTGGCATAACAAATATATGGGTTTAGGACAATCCAAAACCAATAAAGGAAAAGTCAAAAATAGAAAAGATGTGAACCTTCCGTTTAGAAAAATCTTTCAAATATATGGGTTTAGGACAATCCAAAACCAATAAAAGAAAAGTCAAAAATAGAAAAGGTGTGAACCTTCCGTTTAGAAAAATCTTTCAAATACCATTGCCTCTTAGATTTTTAAATTTAAAGTTTCATTATCTCTGGTTAGATGAGCTTTCTTTAATGTGTCATAGCCTTTGATCAGAAGAGTCATTTAAAGTTTCATATCCTCTAGTTAGAAGAGTCATCTAAAGTTTCATAGCATCTAATCAGAGGAGCTTTTTAATTTTAAGAGCCTCTGATTAGAGAACTCCATCAAAATTAAGCATGATTTGTAAAACCAAAGGGCTTAATTTATAACTCCTTTCAGATTTTTAATTTAAAATTTCATTGCCACTAGTTAAAGGAGCCATTTAAAGTTTTACTGTTTCTGGTCAATTGAGCCTTTTAAATTTAAAGTTTCGTTATCTCTAGTCAAAGAAGAATTTTAAATTTAAAGTTTTCTTTCCTTTGGTTAAAGAAGCCTTTTGAGTTTAAAGTTTCATAGCCTCTGGTCAAAGAAGCCTTTTAAATTTAAAGTTTCATAGCCTCTGGTTAGAAGAGTTTTTTAAAATTTTTAAAAGTTGTTAAGTATCTACTCGGAAAAGCTTTCTAATTTTTAAAAAAAAAAAACAAAAAAAAATTCAGACAAAATAGTTGTCTTTTTATCTTTGTCATATTCCTGATTCTCAATAATGTGTAAAGATGGGCAATTATGGACACCTATTTTGTCCAAAACAAAAAAATAATAAATGAAAAAAATAAAAAAAGGTCAAAATTTTAGGTTTCAATTCTGGCAGCTAAAATCAAGCTACCATAGTGGTTATTTTTCTTCTGCCACAAAACTAAATTTTGCAGCACAAATTAAGGGGGCATGAAAGTTTTCTTGAATCCTAAATTATTTAGGATTTGAAGACTCAAAAGGCTTTATAAATGGAGCTAATTCTTGCAAGCAAAAAAATGGGGAAAAACATAACACAAAGCCTAGATAGATTCCTAGAACACAGAGAGAGAATCAATGGAGGTTATTGTAAAAAAAATAAAAAATAAATAAAGGTACTTTTTTTGGTTAGTTACTGGGTTCATAAACAAACACGTACAAGCACAAAAAAAAAAAACACAATCCTCTTAGAGGAGGAACCAGCAGCAAAGTCAAAAAAAATTTTAAAAAAATACCCGAGAATAAAAATATGGATTTTGCGTGTTTGATTTTTTTTTTTTTTGAAAAAATCAATTTCAAAAAAGAGTTTGGGAGATAAAAAAGATCATTCGAGCTATTTTTTAAATTTTTTAAAAAGAATTTTAAGACCGTTGAAATCTAAAAAAACTTTGAATTTTTTAACAATTGATGAATTTTTTGTCAACTGGTTGAGTTTTTGGATCATCAAAATCTAAAAAGTTGGTCGGATTTTAGATTTTTTTTAACTTTTTAGCACTGGTAGAACTTTTTGGCCACCAGTGCATGGTAGCAACTGGCTAAAAACTAGATTACACGATTGCTAGCAACAGGTTAAAATTCTAGAGAAAGAAGCTCTTGTCTTTTAGAGAGAGAGAAAGGGAAATGAAAAAAAAAAAAAAGAGACATTTTATAAGCTTATCAAAACAGCATCATTTTGGAGCCAAGATCAATGGAACGACCTGCAACCCGCACGTTGACCCGACCTGTTTGGTGGGATTTTTTTTTTCATTTTTATTTTTTTTAATTATTTTTTTGTTAGATATTTTTAAACAAAAAAAATCATTACAAGTGATAATTTTAACTAAAATTAAGAGTAAATAACAACTTTTAATTTAAAATAAATCCTAAAAAATGTAAATATATATAATAATTATTAAGAAAAATGAAAATAATTCTATCTCACTTTAATAAATGGAATATATATAAAATTCAAAAAAAATATTTTTTAAATTTTGCTAAAGTGTTAGGATGATTCAAAAAATTACTTTTATTATATAAAAAATAAAATAAAAAATAACAACAATTATTTATTTGAATAATTTTTTCAAAACAATATTTAAAGAAAATTGACATAATTCAATTTTTTAATTAATGCAAGTAAAAAAAATATTTTTGAATTTTATCATAGAGTTGGGATAATTGAAAACAAAAAACAAAAAAAAATTTACTAGATAAATTATTCATTTAAATAATAAAAAAGAAATAATAATAAACAATAAATAATAATAAAAATTAAAATAATCAAAATAATAATTAATTAATTAATTAAATCCCTTAATTATCATTAATAAAATAATAGGTTCATTTAGGATCTTGTCAAAAAATTAAGATGATAATAAAATTTGTTTAAAATTTTTAAAATTTCGATAAAAAATTGAGATAATTCTAAAATCCGTTTAATAGATTTTGGGATCTTACCAAAAATTTAAGATGTTCTTAAAATCATTCTAATAAATAAATAAAATATTATATGACAAGATTTTAAGAATTTTGTAAATGGTTACTTTTTTTGAAATATTTTTCAAATAAAGATTTTTTATAAATTTTGATAAAATGTTAGAGAATTTACAAAATACAAAAATAATAATTCTAACTTCACAACAAAAAATATATATTTTTAATAAATAAATTTAAGAAAATTAAATTTAAATATAAAAAAGACCATATTCTCATAATTAAAAAATTACATATGTTTAATCGATATCATTTTTTGAATGGATGATGTGAGGGTATTAATTTTTTTTTACTTATAATCGTATTCTCGAATTCAACATTAATTTTGTAAATCTAAATTTTTTTAATTAATTTTAATTAATTTTAAAATTTTTATTAAAATATAATATTTTTGAATGATTAATCATATTTTTTAAAAAATTAATAGTAATTTTAAAAATTTAATGATCGAATTTCTCGAATAAAATATCATTATGACATCGACTAATAAAAATAAATTAAAATATAAAATTATAAACTAGATATATTAATATTAGTACTAAAAAAATAATAAAAAATATTTAAATCCAAAAATCCACGCATTTATAGCTCATAAACAAAAAATAATAAATAATTGCCAACATATAACACGTTACGGGATAACTCCTAAGGCCCGAAAAAAAAAAAGAAGGTTGTCAACATATAAGATGGGATTATATTGCTGTAAGGATTATGAAAAGGCTATGATGCAGTGCTTGTAGCAGGTGGCACATTTCCGTCCTTCCATTTATGTCCAGACCCTTATCGTCTGTTCGTACATAGTTTAAATAATCAGGGGCCATGATCATTGATGCAAGGAGCGAGTGAGCTAATCCCAGCCGTTCGTTCAAATACACCACCGAAGTAGAGCGCGGGATCGCCAAAAATATCAGCTGCCGCTTGGAAGACCGTCATACGCAAGGCAACGCAACGCTCAACATCCAAGGAAACAAGAGAGGGAAAGAGAGAAATGGCGCCCAGGAAGCGAAAGGCGACGGACGGAGACGAGGAGCAAGCCAAACCTCAAGGTCAAGAGACGTTGAAGAGGGTGACTCGGAGCAGGACAAGGCAGCCGGATGGCAAGTCTTCCGGGTTGACTCAGCCCAAAAAGGAGAAACCAAAGGCAAGGGCGAAAGCAAGTACCAAGGAGAAGAAAGAGTCTGTGGAGAAAGTCAAGGAGGCTGTGGCTGTTGAGGAGGGAGCCAAAGCCGAAGCTGCGCCTGAGGATTTGACCGTCGCTGAGGATGGGTCCCACAACAAGACTGTAGTAGTGGAACACTGGTAAGTTATTTTTGTTTTGTTTTTCCTTTAAAAGAACTAACTACTCCACGAAGTAGCTCTAGCAGTATTAATATTTGATTTTTGTTAAAGAAATCTGATCTGTAAAGAGCAATTATATTGTCTTTCCAAATTAAAAATTGAAGAGGCTAGCAAGAAGAAAAATTGAATTAGCAGTGTTGCAAGCTTTTCTAGTTCCGATGACCGTCTTGATTTACTTCAGGGTTTTGCAACGATTTGGCTAATGTTAAATCCGTAACGCAAGGCAACCACGAATTGGGGTAGACTTTTTGGGAACTATGAAAATACATGTACAAATACAACTAAGAAACTGACGTTTCTAAATTCTACTTCTAGTGTTACAGTAGTTGTTTTTGGTTCATTATGTTCTCTGCAACTAATTACTTTGGCCCGCCATTTTACTTGGTTTCGTCCTTTTTCCAATTTAAAAAATCTCTAAATTATTGCTCACCATTGGATTTTGGATGTAACAAGAAGGAAAACGAAATCTACGTGATAGTAAAAAAGTGCAACCCTTCCCTCCTTTGTTTCAGGTATTTAGGCTTGGTCCTCTTTCGATGGATTGGATTGAATGATACTTAGGTCCTCACAAACTTGAAACATTCTTTTCCTTTTTCTGCTGTATGACATCCTTTTCTTTGTTTATGATTCTTTTTCTCTAGCAAGCAATGCAATTCATTCAAGACAAGGGCCTTTCAAGTCAGAGATGGTTTGCAGAAAGGTGTCCCTGGCATCAGAGTGTTGCTCAACCCTGAAAAGGTTAACATTATTTGCTCACCAAATAATCTCTCCAGTTAACTTGCTGTTCGACTTTGTTTGACTAACACCTTTAAGTATCTTGTTTGCAGTGGACACCTATGAAGGGATGAATTTTTTTTCTTTCTCATCTTTTAGCTGAGAAGCCTTGTTCTTTTTCTACAAAAAATATGGATGGTCTTTTTGTTTATTTCTTATTGTAATCCTCTATTGTTTAATGGCATTTATATTGTACAATTTCAACTCTCTTTAAGCATACAATAGAGTGTTCTGCTATCATTCTCTGAAACTATAGTTCATGTGGTTCTATCTTAAATTTTAATTGTACCGGCCACTGTCATACAAACCTACTGTGGACATGATGTTATAGATGCTTAGATTATCTGATAACTGGTTTTCATAAAGTAAGATGAACTAAATCTCTTGCTTTGTTTTTGATTTTTTTTTTGTTAATTCCCTTCAAATTCAAAGATCCTCTTTTTTTCAAGATTAAGATCCATTTGTTTTTTATTTTATGGTGAAAATGGTGAAATTGAAATCATATTCATACATAATGTGTGATGTTGGATGTGAGCATTTGTGGCTCAAATAATAACCATATATTGGGGTGTTATTTTCAAAGCTTACTTGTATTGAACTCCCAACATTTCTATGTTATGGTATGCAATATTGCTATCAGTTCTCTATCTATTTTACAAGGGCCAAGTATCTTTGATGGGCCAATTTGTTAATCAAATTGATATTTCTAGTTAGAAAGAGATGTCTTGATCATGATGTTTGTATGGTTTCATGATTTTTCACATCTTTGGCTATCTTTGCTCTAAATGTGCTTGTGTTTTCTGTTCTGGGTTTAAAGATCCTTCCGGAAATCTGTTTTTTCCTTTGCTATTGATTTTTCTGTTGCAATGTCTATTTCATAGCTGATCTATCACTCACTTTTGTAAATTTCCAACAGCCAAGAAGAGGTTGCTTCGAAATAAGAGAGGAAAGTGGTGAGAAGTTCATAAGTCTGCTGGTAAAACTTGTTCTTGCAGTACTTATGAATCGCTAATTTATTTTACTTAATTTTGTGGTTATATATCACCTTCAATACTCACTTTTTGGGGTTATCCTTCTATATTCATTCCCTATTTTCCATTTAATATATATGCATAGTTGTTAAACTGATTTAGTAATTACAGAAATCTTATTTATGAAAAAAAAATGAAATTGTCATACAAATTAGTTGATAATAGGATGGTAAATCAACTGTTATGTTAAGGTTCTTGATGCAAAACAGATTCAATAGACTAGTTGCGTTTTGTGAAATGAATGATTTATATTTGTTTTTGTTTTTTTTTTTTTCTGTGACTCTGTTACCGTTTTAGAACGCAGCATGATACCGTTGGCATTTGATATAAATAAATGTGTATGTATCATTGATTGCTAGTATTTCTTTTGATGATGAGTGGCACTGTTTCTTTTTTACTAGAATAAATTTGGTTTCTTTGTTCTCCTTCTAAAGAAATGTTCATTATATTGTAGAGGAATTTGATTTAACATTTCATATGTCTGAGATGTCTAGCAAATTATTGCAAAAACCTCTTACTAAGTTAGCTGCAATTATGCTAATTGTTTTGCAGGACATGAAGCGACCATTTAAACCAATGAAAGACCTTGACATGGAGAAGTTGATCTCGGATATCATTGACAAGATCAAATGAAGAGACTATATGTGCATAGAACTGGAAGTATGTTCTGATTGTTACGGTGACAACATTTTGTGGTTTTACCTGATGAACTTGCCTTGTGAAAGGAAGGCTTGGTAAAAAAAAAAAAAAAAACTTCATGTTTTGTGTTAACTTCTATTCTTGATCATTCATGCTGTCAAGAAATGATTTTAGATGTATAGGTATTCTGGATATTGTTGGTAGATGTAGGCTACTGTAATGACACTCTTGACCTTTGCTTTTGCTAATGCCTTGAAAATTTTCATGTTAGTATTGCTTCCGAAGCAACCATTATGTTTTCTTCTTTGCCTTTGTGCAACTGCTCCACGTTTTCCATTTTTTTCCCCTTGAACAAAACCTCTGTATTTTGCATCTTCTGGTTTATGGTGTGAAAATATATTTATATGGTTAATGGTCTAATTTGGAGGTTTATATTTATATGGTTTGGTGTGTAAAATTGAGGGTTTTTTATGCTTGTTTTGGAATCAAGACTTTGCAATAATATGCTTTTCAAAAAAAAAAAAAAGACTTTGCAATAATATTATGACAGGGTTTGGTAAAATAGGGTCGGGATTTCTTTATCAAAAATAGGAATTAGGGATTTCACGATTAAAAAGAAAAAAAAAAATGGAGCTCACAAATTTATCTTCCCTTCGATCATTCTCATGTCAGAGGATTAGCGATTGCACGTTGGATATGGGTGTGACCCAATAATCAAGCCCACCCCCTCGCTTTTCGTTATAGTAATAAATTTAAGTTTATCTCTCCACTTTATAAAACATCAAGTATCTTAGAAGGCTACAAAGCTTGCGACCAAACCTATCACTGTTGCAGCGGCTATGCGTGAACCCACTACTTTAGAAGAAGCGGAAGGAGCAGGTGCTTCCGCTTCTTCCTTCTTCATCAGCATCTTTGGGTGATGGGGGCGACTTCCCTTTGGTTGGAGCATCAGCCGCTGGTGCATCAGCTGATGGAGCAGGGGAGGGTGCACCATCTGGGGATTCCCCTTCATCATCACCTTCCTCCTCCTCCGAGGGTGCAGGGGCCTCGGCCTTCTTGGGAGCAGGGGCCGGTGGCTTGGAACCTGGTGGTGGTGGAGGAGCAAGGACGGGATCACCAAAGCCAGGAGCCACAATAGGTGTGCTAACGTGAAGCACTGATAAGTTGAAAGGCTGGGCAACCACAGACCCCAAAAGCTTAGAAACTAGAGGTGCACCCTTCACGCCTGAACCGAACGCAACATCACCTGGGCCTATCCTGGTAAGGTTCAAGAACCCTTGTTGTTCCATAGCCATGCCAGTGGTTTGATATAATGTGGTGAGAATGGCGCTCTTCTTTCCCAGCTTTTGGATCTTGAGGGTATCGAAGTAGTCAAGGATAATGTGGTTCATGAGGATCTTCTTGAGTTCATCGGTGGACCTGTTTGCGATGGAGGAAATTGTATCGTTGTCCAAGGCTAGTATGGTAATGGTTTGACGATGGCTGATTTGTTCAGCGAGTTTGGTCTGGCTGAGAAGGTTGTTGAAAGTGCCATACTCAGGGTATTGTCCGAGCACCTTGGTGATGTTGAAAGCGGAAGAGGTGGTGGTGGACAAGGCCAGAAAGAAGAATGCAATAACGAAAAGGAGGAAGGCTTTGGCAGCCATATCTTTTACCACAGAAAGCTGATCAAAACAAAGCCTGGAACCTGCTAGAGGAAGTTTATTATGCCTTTCTTACCGAGGCTGCGCAAGTGCCTACAATTGAAGGTTGGGAGCCAAATACTCCTTTCAATGCTCGAACATGGTGGATAGCCACATCTATATACATGTAAATATTGTTTTGGCACAGATCATAATGAAGCTGATTCAAAAAAAAAAAAGAAAAAAGAGACAGACAGAGAGGGAAACGAAAAAAGAGCTGGAATAAGACAAAATAGGGAATTGGTTAATGCATTGCATGCTAACTGCACGTAACCTATTTGCATTCAAAAATTTTTCAATACATCCCAAAAGAATTAATCAATAAAAAAATTACTTAAATATTTATTAGTTAATTATCTTTTTGTTTTTAACACTCTTTCTCAAAAATTATGGAAAATAAATTTTTAAAAACATTTTAACTTTATTGAAAATTCATTTTTAGAAAATATTGCAATTATCCATAAATGCATTTCCAAAAAAACATTGTAATTATCTAAAAATGCATTTTCAGAAGTAAATTTTTTACTTTAGTTTCTTTGTTACAATTTTTTGATTAATATTTGTCATGAGAATATCACGATGTCTTTTGTTACGATCTAAATGAGTTTGTAATTATTACTCTAATGTATGCGATATTTAAATTCGATAATAAAAATCTTTAATCTTTTGGTAAGGTATTATCCGTTTAATAACATTCAAAACATTTTATCAATTCTAACAAAAATGCATTTGAAAAAAATCGTTAATTATAAAGAGAGATTGTGCAAGTGGTTATTGCATCATGTGCGATGAGGCAATCACACTCCATCGCATATGGTGCAGCAACCAATTTGCACAATTACTTTTTCACACTTAGCGATTCATCTCAGATACACATCTATCAGAATTGTAAAATGTTGCAAATGATATTGAACGGACAACGCCTAGTGGTCAAAAGATCAAAGCTTCCTATTCACGGATTTGCCAGTCTATTGATAATATAATAAGGTCAATTCTTGTATACTGAAAAATTATTTGGTCTCTATTGGTGGTCGAAAATTATTGTGTACCGAAAACCTTTTCTGAAAGTTTTTAAATATATAAAAAATGAATGTTCGAAAATCATTGAAAAATTTTGGAAATACATTTTTGGAAATTTTTAAAGGTTTTTGAAAGTGAATATCTAAAAGCTTTTAAGGGATCTCGAAAGTAAAATTTCAGTACATTTTTTTAGACATCAATTTCGAAAACTTTCAACAATTTTCAAAAATTTATTTTTGGAATGCTCAAATCACTGCCTCAAATCATATCTCTAAACTTAAAATTTTAAATCTTTTAAAAATAAATTAAAAAATAATTTATCTATTATTCTAAATTATCTAATATCAATGAGTGATTGAGACTTGATTTGACACTTAATCCTTTAAAGGTTTATGATTTTCAATGAAAAAAAAGAGAAGAGCTGATAAGTGTTTGAGTTTTTTTAGTAAATTAGTGTTTTGGTTTCAGTGCGAAGAAAAAGCGAAACGAATGTTAATAATAATGAGGTATGAAAAGTTGAAGTGAGCATGTAAATAACACTGTTCTTTTTCCTATGTATAATTTAACCCATTCCCCTTAGTAGAGATAAAAAGGATTGGTTTGACGAAAATGGACAAACGGTCCAAAAAAAAAAATACATGTTAAGATGCTTGATGCACTATTTTATCATTTCACCACATTTGGCATAAAAGTGGGAAAACAGGCATCATCTAAAGTAGACTAAAGTGTAAACCCTAATTCTCCAAAAACAAGGTAAAAATAAGAAGAGTAGAATACCATGTAGCTTGACAACGGCCAGGTGCCACTGTATCGGTGTTCTGCACGTGATTGCATCAATCAGTAATTGTAAGACTACATTGATTATATGCTATATATACTAGTACATCAAATTGTCGAACACATGTTTCGTAACGGTTTTGAGACTGTCAGGCATAAAGTATTTTAAAATCGAGAGAAATAAAATGGAGTAGTCATCAATCTTTGTTAGGGTGTGATTGACCACCTAAAAATTTATCTTTTTAATAAAACTATAAAAACGGGTTTAAAGTTTATCAAAAAAGATAAATTTTGATCTACGAAAAACTAGATTGGGTCCGAGAGTCGGTTACGTGTGAGGAATGATTAGCACCCTCAAAACGTCCATAAATTGGCATCATTTAATTATGCATTATTTTCGGTGTTAAATAAAAATGGTTTTGACTTGAAATTTAATACTAATTTACTTCGTTTTAAAAAATATTTTTGCTAAAATTTTTATTTAGAAATATTGAGAAAATCTTTAAGTTAAAGAATTATCTTAAAATTTTTCAACATCTAGGTAGAATTTGAAATAATTCTTTTCGCTTAAGATTTAACACAACAATCCTTAAAATAAAATAACACTTTTTATAAAAAATTATTGGTGACTCTCCAACATCTAGGCAGAGTACCAAGAATTATTTCTTTTGGAATGTTATTTTTATTTTATTTTATAATATCACAAAAAAATTTTTTAAAGTGTTATTCTTTTTTTTATTATAAAATATTTTATCATTGAACAATAAATTAAAGAGAGAATAATGTAGATAATTATTGATGATAACATGCTAACATATGTATGCTAATGAATGTTATGTAAACTGAGATGCAATTTAAAAGTTGGATTCTTAAGTATAATGAGGCCACCCCGACTCTCTAACATCTAGGTAAAGCTTATGTGTGACTGTTTATATTTAAGATCTCAATTTATCAATCTTATTATTAATGTGAATTAAGAAATCGTGTGAAAAGACTTAACGAAGTAAGATTTCTTAAATACCCCATCATCTAGGTGACATTCGAAAATAAATTGCTTTAAATGAAATTTTCATACGTGTCCTTAGGATTTTTAGGATTTTGGATTTTAAGAAATTTTGAATTTTAGGGGTTTTAGAAACCTAGGATTTTGAAAATTAAAAATTAGTGTTTAAGGTTTCGTTTTTAAAAAAATACTAACATCTCTAAAAATCCCCAACGTCTAGGTGAATTTTTGAAGCAAGTTCGATTTTTATGATTTTTAAAAACTAATTAAAAATTTCTTATATATTTATTTTTTATGAAAATTTAATAATAATAATTTTTCAACATGTAGGCGAAATTATTTTTTAGAAAAATATTTTTATTCCGTTCAACATCTAGGCAGGAAAAAAAATAATAATAAAAAATATTTTTTTGAACATTTTTAATATATATTTTTAATAGTTTTCATTTTTATTATTATTAAAATAATTAAAAATTTATTCTAACAAATTTAAGAATTTATCATGCAAGAATAAATAAAAAAACTAAAAATAATAAAAATAATAATATAAAAAAATTAAAAAAATTAAAAAAAAATTTTTTTTACCTGAACCGGATCGATTAACGGTCTGGTCAACGACCAGTTTGACTGGACCGAAAAGGGGTTGGTTCGACTTGCGATTCAGTCGAACCGACTGAGAAGCGGTTCAGTTCGGTTTGATTGAACCGACTCAGAGCTGTTGGAAGAACTAGGTCAGTAGGTAGTTACGCAGATCCCGGGTCGGGTCACGGGCGCGAACGGATCTTCCTTGGTCCAGAAGACATCGATTTGGTTTTTTGTTCTGAAACGGCGTCGTTTTGGATAGCCAAAGCTATATATAAACCAAGTTTTTTTTTTCTGTTCAGTTTTCTTCTGTTCCTAAAAAAAAGAAAAAAGATTTCAAAGCTCTGGAGAGAGCTCGGGGAATCCACCAATGATCGATCATCGGTGTCGTGCTGCCGCCGTCGGTGGTGGCCGCCAGTGGCCGAAAAAATTTGAAATCCTTCTGGAAGCTCTATTCGACGAGATCTTTTCGGATCCAATCTTTTTTCTGCCAGAAACGACCTTGATTTGCGTAGATCGAGGTCCAAAGTTTTCTGTTCTCTTTTTTTTTTTTTTGAACTGAAGCTGATGATGATCTTTTTTATTTTTTTGCAAGTAGCTTGACGCTGGGTTCCTCGCCTAGCGAGGATTGTGTTTGTTTTTTTTGTGTCTGTTTTTGCATTTTTGTTTGGGTTTGGTGTTGTGTTTGGGGTTGTTGAAGGAAGAGGCTTGGAGGTTTCGAGGGTCTGTTCGAAGGCTTTTCGAGAGGGGTCTGTTCGAAGGCTTTCGAAAATGGGGGTTCGAGAGAGAGCTTGAAGGGGAAAAAGTTGAGAGTTTTTAAGGAGTTCAAAAGGGGATTTGGGCGGCTTTAGGTGGGTTGGTCAGAGGCTGGTCAAGGGGCTGGTCAGAGGGCTGTAAGGTGGTTGGTCAGGGGCAGTAGCAGCGCCAGCCACCTTACTTTTCGTTTTTTTTTTCTTTTTTGTTTCTTTGTTTTTTTTATATAAAATTAATAATTATTTTTTAAAATTATTGTTATTATTATTAAAATTATTAATATTATACTAAAATAAAAATAATAGATCTAGACAAAACCGATGTCTACAACACGAGATGAAAAGCCCACAACCAAACTTGCTTATCATAGCAAGCTGTTATAATACCCTTTGTCCTGCAGATTGACCAAACCCCTCTGAATAGCTACTTAATTTCTCCTTAACAACCTCTTAGCAATAAGTTTTATCCATGAAGTAAAGCAAATCTTTGGTAAGATATACCAGGCAATTGTGAAGGTTAAAAGTAAATATCTATAAATTAAGGTACATATTCAACAATATATATAGTTTCTAATTATTGAAATGAGATAGAAACCTAACAGCAACAAATACATGTTAAGCTCACGGCCACATTGGCATTGTTGCCATAGAGTCCCTTTTATGCAAGACTACCATACTGCTAATACTTATAGAAGATTACCTTACTGCTAATACCATTAGATCAATAATAAAATCTACCACAAACAGAAGGTTTCTTACCATGACACCCGATCTTTGAAAGAGAGAACGTACTGAAAATTGGTTGGTAATAAGCAGCTGTAATGTGATAATAAGTTGATTGGGTAAACTGCATTTCCAATTGTCTTTAACTTGAAGTAGTTGCAGCTTTACCAAATGTGGTTCGGGATTTCTTGCAGTTTATTAGATAGATGATACAAAGTTTTGCTGCCTTTATAACAACACAAACTT